AAAATCTGTTACGTATCTACAACAGCCAAAAAACACCCGTGCTAAATAGTTTCTAAATTTTGTCCTGAGTTTAGAAATACCCAATGTTAACATGTTCTTTAGCTTTTTTTGGAATGTTTTAGAGCAATAAGTACAAGTAGTATTTCCAAACCATTTTTTTCAAAATTAATGAAAGTTACATTGTAACACTGATATCTGTCAGGAATCCCTGAAAAACCCTTCACCTGTATATATTTTTTAAAAGAAGACAACCTAAGGTCACAAGATCTCCCCGGCCGGCCCATGCAGTGCCGACACTATCAGAGTGCCAAATATCTCCCTCACCGGCCCACAGGCACTGTAACGCTGGCTGTGGAGGGAGGGAGGGGAGGACCCGGTGGAGTTCTACCCTGCAGCTCCGCCGGGTTCCTCTCACGAGGTCGGAGTGGTGCCATGGTTACCACGGCAACGCTCAGGTCCCGCGAGAGTGAACTCTACCCCAGGAACTGCAGGGTAGAGTTCACTCACCACTAGGACCACCAGGGACTGCAGCATGGCCCCCCTCCATGGCAGCACGGCTCCCTCCTCCCAAGCTAAAGGTAAGAAGGCAGGGGGGATATAAAGTTTAGTTGTTTAATTAAAAAAAATAATAAAATAAAAAAATTCATATATTTACATCTTGCCCCCCCAACACACAATCCCTCCACACATATTCACACACACCCTAACAGCACACTCCCACACACACAGCAACCTCAGACACACATAGCACCCTCACACTAACAGCACACTTACACACACACACACACACATACAGCACCAGAGACCAGATAAAAGGAAACACAGCGCAAGCATGTTATTAAATTTGCTTGCACAGAACAAATACAGGGCTCTTTTCTCTTGCTAGAGCTTTCCAGCAGGGCTCTGTGCATTGAACTAACATGCTCACTTTGAAATGGGACATGCTTGTCATTAGTGATGACAAAACACACCCTCTTTGGCCCCGCACCCTTTTCAGGGGGCCGCTGTGATTGAATAATGCCCGGGCCGAATTCTTTTCCCAGTCCGGCCCTGTTGTGCTCTCAAAATCATGGTTAACAACTAAAATACTAGACTCCACTATTGCAATACAGGGTTATTCATGTTTTAGAAATGACAGAGCAAAGAGATGAGGAGACATTGTTATTTATGTTGACAATTCCATAAAGTTTACCCCCTTACAAAACTTTAGCCCTCCTTTCTGGCACAATTGAGATCCCATGCAGTAAATCAATCATTGTTGCAGGAATCTACTGCCCACCTAGCTCCCCAGTGCATTACCTATCTGACATAGCCCAGCTCCTGAGTGAAACCATAGCTCAAAACCCAAAAAGTGAACTGTTGGTCTTTGGAGATTTTAATATTGAATAAAGAATAATAGTTCTTGCTCATGGTTTAAGCCTTTGCAGCTAACACAATTAATCTCCTCCCCAACTCAAATAAACATTAAAAGCCATAATCATACCCTGCTCGATTGGATTCTCTCCACTTCTCCTGATAGAATCCAAGAGGCAGGTGTTCTCCATAACTGTTTCAGTGATCACTGTTTAGTGTACTGCGTGCGCAAACTAAAGGCTACTAAATCCTCTCCCAAGGTTAAAATCACCAGGTACTTCAAAAATTGTAATCTTGAATCCTTTCTTAATGACATCAAGAACCTCCCATGGCACAGATTACATTATCCCAGATCTAGACTATGCAGTTGAATTCTTTCAGTCTGAACTCCTACAAGTTTGGAATTTGCATTCCCCGCTGCGTAAGGTGAGAGTAAAAGGGCACATACAAACTGGATCACAGCTGACCTCATCCAAATGTACCAGTTTCGGGATTCATTGTGGTCAAAGTTCAAGCGTACTGGCTCTATGAACGATCACTGTGCATATAGACAATGGCGTAATATATGCACAAAACAAACAAAATTGTCCAAGGCCCAATATTTCTGTGAAAATACGAACAATAACCTATCAAACCCTAGAAACTTTTGGAAAGTCATAAATTACAATCTCCTCCAATCCACTCCCAACCCTCCACTGTCAAAGTGGATAACCAAACCCCGCAACTTCCCTTAGATGTAGCAAATGCCTTTAACAATTATTTTGTCCGATGCTCCACTACCCTGATTGCCAAGCTAATAAATCACACACATCCTGAAACTACAAATGTGGATCAGGCCCCACTAAATTTTCAAAGACCCAATATAGACAAGCTCATTTTAGACCTGTACCTATTAGTGTCAATACAAACACCTTAATAATCTAAAAATGAAAAAACAGTCTGGACCTGATCAAATCCAAGCAATGCTGTTGAAGCTCAGTGCGCTGTCAATTGCTTAAACTGTCACAACCCTAATTAACGAATCCTTGGTGTCTGGATACATACCCAAACTTTGGAAGATTGCGAGAGTAGTGCCTCTCCATAAAAGTGGTGACACTACTTTGGTTTCTAACTATCGCACAATATCATTGTCCCCAGTATTTTTAAAAATCTTAGAAAAATTCGTCCATATGCAACTATGTGAGTATTACCAACAATCTAATTATCTGACCCCTGATCAATCACTAATCACTCCACTACAACTGTCCTCTTAAAAGTTTGCAATGACATCCAAACTGGCATGGAACAAGGAGACCTAACTGGAGCTATTTTCCTTGATTTTGCAAAGGCCTTTGACACAGTAGACCACGACATTCTACTGCACAAACGCAAAATCTCAGGTATTGGTGATTGTCCGCTAACCTGGTTTCAATCAGATGTATCGGATCGCTCACAATATGTATCCATTTCTGACAGTGTCTCTCTCCCTCTCCCAGTCACGTGTGGTGTTCCCCAAGGTTCCATTCTCTGCCCCCTACTATTCACATTATTTATAAATGATCTGCAAATCCTCCAATGTACACATGTACGGAGACGACACAGTAACCTATGCAAGCACATCCAATTTACCGCAGCTAGAGGCTGTGCTCAAAGACCAGTTTACAGATGTAGAAAAGTAGATCGCAAAAAACAAACTCTTCCTAAACACTGACAAAACTATCACAATGACCTTTGGAACAGTACCTAAATTACACAATTCCCACCTATCCATCCAAACAAATTCAAATAGCACACTGGCCGCAGTCCACTCTTTCAAATACTTGGGTATGTTGTTAGGCCACAGTCGATCTTTTGGCCTCCACAGAAAAACTTGCATCTAAACTTTACCCAAAACTAGGTGCCCTGTACAGAAACAAATCCTGCCTAAGCCCTACAGTAAAGGAAAAGATTGTACAGCAAATGCTGATGCCAATCATTGATTATGGGGATGTAGTATATGCACCTGCACCGCAAACCCACCTTAATAAACTCAATACATTGTATAACTCGTTCTGCCGATTTGTGCTACAACAGTTGCCAGCCTTTTCTTACCTCCTTCAGCAATCAGGAGTCTAACCTATCTCTCTCCCTGAGGGGATGACAGTGGTACACTGCATACATGAGGCCCAGCCGAGTCTAAGCCTTTATCCTTGAAGACCCAGAAAACAGCACTTCCATAGGTGACTACCGGGGTATACCTATTCTATGTATTCCACCTTGTATGGTGATGATGAACGGCATATGGGGTACAGATGGAAGCCTATAGTTTAAACAGTTTAGGCTGTCAGTTGTTCAAATCCCCATTTTGCCACTGAAACACAGGCCTGCAACAGTTCAGGTAAGTGCATTAGTAATTTAGATTAAACTAGTATAGTCACCTGGGTCTCTGTTCTTTCAGTCCCTCCCAGCTGCTTACATTAGGCTTCCTTCTAACAAATAGGTCACATTTAGGAGATTTGTGTGGTGAACATTTAGGTAAGTTTTATACAAGGATGTTTGGTGCAAAAGAGTGCTGATAATACAAGGATGCATTGTGCAAAGGAGTGCTGATAATGCAAGGAGGCATTGTGCAAAAGAGTGCTGATAATGCATTGAGACATTGTGAAAAAGAGTGCTAATAATGGATATCCTGGCTGTATAAAGTCTGCTGGAATTCCACAGTCCTGAAGACAGAGAAATATCCCAGATAAGAGGACTTTCTTGGGTGTCTGATTGAAGTACACACATGTATATGACAGGTTTTAAAAACCTAACTCTAAACCTAACTCTAAGTCCACACACTTGTTTCTATCAAGGTATGTGGCATTGATTGATGTTACCTGTGCATTTTCACAAATAAGCAGGCTTTGGCAGACAGTGGAAGAATATACTGCCTCAGTATAAGTATCCTCTATGTAGGAGTTACTATGAGGACACAGCCTCAGTATATGTATCCACTATATGCTCTATGTATAAGTTACTATGAGGATACAGCCTCAGTATATGTATCCACTAGATGCTCTGTGTATGAGTTGATCGGGAGACTCTGCCTCAGTGTGTGTACTTTATATGCTCTGAGTCGCTGTGACAACACAGCCTCAGTATATGTCCTCCACATGCTCTATAGGTAAGGTGGTGTGGAAACATTGCTTCAGTGTACTTTTACGTTACGTTATTATACTTTTAGCAGTCTCTCATTCCGTACCATTAAAGCACCAATCTCTCTTTATGACTGACCTCTTAGATTGGGTGACCTGAATTTGGGTCAAGAAGAAATCACGAATGTATTCGCTATTAATCCACTACCTTTTGATAGTATTGCAGGTAATAACATCAATACTGCATTTTTTGGCATTCAGAAGTCTTATCATGACCAAATTAGAAGCCTCTGGGAACTAACAAGCTTAAAGCAATATTTAGAACAGAAATTGGTCCCCAGAGGATTACGACCTGATATTTTACTACCAGATAAAATCCAGACAGAAGAGCAGCTCAGCGAATGGAACACCATTCTACTGGACTGCTCTTTTAAGTTAATGGATTTTCTGGTAAAACTGGAAACTACTAACTTTGAGGTTATTAATGGGAAATTGAAAAGTGACATTCTGTCTATAAAAAAAAACTATAAAACGGATGATTTATATGTACACATGGAAAAGAAGTTACAACAAAATATTAACAATTTTAGACATCATCTCAAAGTGAAAAAACATAAGTTCCAGAGGGATTTCAAAGACTTCAAAAGTGGTAAAATCTTTAGGCAAACTAATAATCACCCGAAACACCGTAATAACTATCGGGGCTCCTTGTCTGGCGAGACAGACTGGTCCGATCAGGACCTGCCACCTCAAACCAGACGGAGATCTCAGTTTAAACGAAACCCTGATCAAACAGAACGTAACCCTCACATCACAAATAACAAAAGCATTTTTAAAAATTCAGACAAAACGGTGTCTTTTCTTGATATTCCAATACCTGTGGATACTGATAAACCTTACGGCCCCACTATCCCCCTGCCGAACCCTTTTTTTAGAACAGGATCAACCCCGACAACAACGGGGTCGATTGAGAGACAGGGATCGGTGGGCATACAAGAACCAGAGTCGCCCTCAGAGACAGTAACCTCTAATAAAATAATAAACCTATCAGATTTTTCATTATCTAAACATCATATCACTTTGCTCAACAAAGGTTTATCCTTTGTACCTACTCCTACCTACAATATGTTTAACTGGTCTAAAGACCTCAATCTCTTTGGTCGTAAATTGCCTCTTAACATCCTACATGCCAAAAAAGATCAATTAATGGCCAATGAAATGGGCCTTTCGGTACAGGACTATGAGCTTTCCAAAACTTTGGATAGCCTCCTTGCTGAAAACTACTTGTCCAGACCCTTAACTGATTTCAAGCCACCAAGTTATTTTACTCCTAATTTTTTATAGATACACCTCATGTGGATCTTTTTGTGCAAATCTCATTGAATGAACTTGAAACAACAATAAAGCAAGGCTCTACCCCAAACAATCAAAGGTTCATGGAACGCAAAGCACTTAAAGATCTACAACAACAGACAGAGATTATTATTAAACCTGCTGATAAAGGCGGTAACATTGTCCTTATGAATCGGCAAGAGTACGTAACTATGTGTATGTCACATTTAGATGACTCCACATATATTATAGGATTCTCCCCTCAGATCCAACCAAGAATTTTGTAAGGGATTTGGACAGTCTTCTCAATGATGCTTTAACCAAACAGGTTATAAATTTGGATGAATTACGCTTTTTATTACCACACAAAAACGCGACCATTGCAACATTTTATTGTTTACCCAAGATACATAAGGGTACGCGGACCCCTCCGGGCCGTCCCATTGTATCTGGGAATAACTGTCTCACAGAATCCCTTAGCAAATACATTGATAAGATTCTTCACCCTTTGGTGTTAACGTTGCCATCCTACTTGCAGGACACAAAATCCACTCTCTTGACATTACAGGACATGACAGTTCCTCCCTACACTCAGCTAGCCAGTCTGGACGTCGTGGCACTATATACCAATATTCCCCGTAATATGGGTCTCAGAGCATGCAGGTTCTTTTCAAATAACTCTGCTTACAGTGAATGTCAAATAAATTTCATTCTTTCTATTCTTGAATTCATTCTGACCCACAATTATTTTACATTTAACAACCAATTCTATTTACAAATCTCTGGCACAGCTATGGGGACAGCTTGTGCACCCACTTACACCAACTTGTTTTTGGGGTGGTGGGAACAGCACATAGTTATGTCATCACAATTTAGCCGCTTCCATGAGTACATTCTGAGCTGGCATAGATACATCGATGATGTGCTGCTCCTTTGGACAGGATCTGTCCCCCTATTTGAGGACTTTGTTGAATCTCTCAACGCTAATGACATTAACTTGAAGCTGACATCAGTTATCGACGAACAGGCATTGGTCTTTCTAGACCTCAAGATTTTGTTACAACAAGACGGAACTATTCAAACAGAACTGTTTAGGAAAGCGACTGCTACTAACAGCCTGTTACACTGGAATAGTCACCATCCGTTCAAACTGAAAGCTTCCATCCCTTATGGTCAATATTTGCGAGCAAGACGAAACTGCTCAGTAGACCAGACCTTCTACAATGAATGCAAAATCTTGAGGTTTTAAGGAATTGGGATATCCAAATCGAGTTTTGAAGAGCGCGTTTCACAGGGTCTGTGATATTGACAGAAATTCGACCTCCGTTACACTAGACCACAATCTGAACAAAAGGCCCCTCGGTGTATAGCTACGTTTGATCAAGCTTTAGGACCTATGTCAAAGATTTTGAAAAAGAACTGGCCGATATTGTTGCACAACCCTGTACTTCACAAGACATTACCGAAATATCCACCCCTCACAGCTCGTAGACCCAATAACCTATACGACCAATTGGTTCGTAGTCATTTATCATCCCCTCCACCCACTACTAATTGGCTTACGAACACCACAGGGACCTTTAAATGTGGCCACTGTAAGGCATGCCAATTTATACGACCTTCTAAATTAACCACCTCTACACAAACTCACATTACCATTGAGACAAATGCCTTAGTGAATTGCAGCACTACACGCATCATCTATTTAATCACCTGTAGTTGCGGAATTCAGTATATTGGAAAAACATTCCAACAATTTAGACGGCGAATTCTGCAACATGTCACCTCAATTAACAATACCGTGTCACCCACTCCGGTAGCTAGACATATTCAGAATTTCCATCAAGGGAAATCAGACAATCTACATTTTCAAGCCATTGAGTTACTTCCTAACCCTAGAAAGGGGGATTTCAATAAGATCTTGCTACGTAAGGAATCACAATGGATCTTCTCATTTAAAACCTTGGCTCCTTTTGCATTAAATGAAGAATTTAATTATACATCGTTTATACATTAATCTCCTAGTGATTTCTTCCTTTTTTCTTATCTTTACCAAGAATAATTTATTCGCTATCATCCCGTTAATCTATTCAATAAGTGTGTAATATTTATCATCTTTTTACACACTTTCCTATTCATGATGAATATTTCATTATATCACATTTATTACTATTTCCTTGGATAATAATCTCTTACCCAACAGGTACTGGAAGTTCCCCTTATCAGGAGGAACTATTGAGACTGCCTTCACTTATTTATATTTTTCATACTTATATGTGTTATAATCAGATACAATTATACTTTAAGCAGATTACCAACATCCAGGTACAGCACTGTATCACACAGTATATTTGATAACCATTACTAATATTACCATACATTTTTTACCACCTCCTATCTAATACATTAGTTACCATACTATAAATGCCCACTCACCATTTATTGATCATCATTTTGTAAATTGTATTATTTTTACAATTTTCTAACTTGTTCTGAATATGGCATTGTTAATCTGGTCGGTTTGTATAACTCTAATTTTAAAACATCAATTATTGTATCAGATGTTTTCTGACCCCTGCCGTTCATTAACACTGTTGCAGAGTTTTGACATTTTCTCTTCTTTGCTCCTTGCCGGCCACCGTATAATACCTCCCTCTATTTTCAGTCTGACCAATCATGAGTAGGAGCGGGCTTTTTAAACCCGATCAAGTGTGGGAATCGGTTCCCCCTGACGAGGCTTTAAAACAGGCGAAACACGCGTCGGGATTCTATTTACCTGATGCCCCTGTTCCCACGGCGTTCTCATTTATTTATTGCTCGTTCTAATATTCAATTTAACGCCATGTTTTGTTAAACAGGGCAATTAGTTTCAGACCATAGTGGTAACTGATCAGGGTGTATACCCGTATCATGTAACCGATCAGGGTTTATACTCATATTACTTAATGTATTGATGTTACATTCCAATACGGTTTAAGTACATTTTTGGTTTTCCTTTTTTTTTTCCAATTTGACAATTTTTATTTTTGTTGGAAGACAATGGTTCAGAGGGGTACAGAAAGGAAAAGGGGGGGTTCAGGGGGGTGCATTTAAATCCCGTTAGGTTTGACATTACAGTTGATCATACCATTTAATAGCATTCGTACAATGCCTGACATTTCTATTTGCTTACAATGTGTAGTACTGATTGTGCTTCTTGCCGTTTACTCATGGGTTGTACAGTAGGTTGAGCGGGTTATTGTGCTCGGCCCTGCGCGTCCTCTGTGAAAGGAGGAGTGTTACTTGTTGTCCCTACATGTGGGTCTTCCTATGGTGGCGAGCAGGGTGTGCTTATCCCCTCAAAAGAGACACATATAGTATGCCCGTCTGAGGGGGGAAAAGGCCTCCGTTGTGAAGGGCTATGAGTTGTCGGGCCACCTTTCCCTTGCGGGCTAATTCGATCGCTGCTGGCCGGCCTGTCGGCTCGTCTATGGTATATGTTTTGTGTTTTTTTTTTTTTTTCGCCTTCTCAGGCTATCTGTGGTTGTTCCTCAGGTGTGTACCCCTGAACGGGTCCAGGTATGAGAGGAGGAGGGGAGAGGCAGGGTGAAACGGGGGGGGGGAAGAATAACTGGGATATGGCTGCTATGAACCATCGAGGTTCTATTGTTACGTAGTTGTATCAGTGTTGGCAGTGCCCCTAGCTGCAGCTTGGAGGGTTCTCTTGTCTATGTATGTGGTCCAAATCTTTTTCGCTGTATCGCTCCCTTTGCCTATTTTTGTTTGGTTCCACAAGATCACCTCGTAGTCCAGGGTGGTAGTGACCATTGCTGTCACCTCCGCCATGGAGGGGATCTGGGGGGTTTTCCAGTGTTTTGCCAGTAAGGTGGACGCTGAGGTGAGCGTGAGGAACATCAGTTTAGTTATACTGTGGGGTATGTGGGCAGGCAGAAGTTTGAGCAAGAATGTTTCAGCGTTGTGTTCGAGGATGCAACCTGTGGCCCCTCTTATTATCTCTGCTATCTGTGACCAGTAAGGTTGGACCTGGGTACATGACCACCAAATGTGTAGCATGGTCCCTGTTTGGGTCTGACATCTCCAGCATTTGTCACTCATGTTAGGATAGATTCTCTTAAGTCTCGTAGGTACCAGGTACCACCTATATAGTAGTTTGTGTGAGGCTTCTAGGTGCGAGGCGCACGATGTAAGTCCCTTGTGATTAGCATATATGTGGTTCCAGTCGTCTGGTGTGAGGGTTCTATTGATATCTCTGTGCCAGTCTTTTTTAAATTGCCACTCCGGATCTGGCTTATGTGCGTTTATGTGTCTGTAGCACACTGATAATGTTTTTTGGGTGGGGGTGAGGTGAAGGCACATTTTTTCGAATGGAGTGAGGTTGGGATCGAATCGGAGTGGTGGTTCATTGCCCGTATTGCTGTTTAGGAGTGTTTTCAGTTGCCAGTGTGAGAATGTTAGTTTGGCTGGGATATTGTATTTGGTCTGCAGTGTTAAGAACGGGAGTGGGCCTTTTTCGGTGCAGATTTGGTGTAGGTGTGTGATGTTGTGGGCTTGCCATGTTCTGTAAGGGAATGTGTTGTTATGGAGTGCAATTGTTTTTAGTGGTGTTGCCATCGACCACGGTGTGGCTGAGCAAAATGCAGTCCTGTGGTTGACCCATATGTTGTATAGTAGTTTCGTGGTGGGTAGGGTGTCTCGGGGAACGTTGCGGAGTTTCTTAGGCATCCACATAGCAGCTGCAAGGTCTGTTTGTCCTCCGCAACTGGCTTCAATGGAGATCCACTGGGGGGTGTATGTGGTGGAGTGCATTTGGAGCATGTTGGCGATGTGTGTTGCATGGTAGTATGCCCTATGGTCAGGGAATCCCAGATCTCCCTTTTCCAGGTGTCTCATTAATAAAGCTCGAGGGACTCTAGGGTGTTTTCCTCCCCAGCTAAATTTGATCAGGAGCGATTGTAGTCTTTGGATGTACGACTGTTGTATGGGGATTTGTAGGGAGCGGAACATATAGAGGATTTTTGGTAATATCGTCATTTTGATGGCCGCAATGCGGCCTAGCCATGAGAGGAACTTGTTTTGCCATGAGTGTAGCGTTTGCTCCACTTCTCTGAGGAGCTTGATATAGTTGGTGGCGAATAAGCCTGAATGGTGTTTTGTTAGCTTAATGCCTAAGAATGTTAAGTAGTCGTTCCTCCAGTCATAGTTGAAGTTGTTTGAAACGTTCCTCCTCCGATTTGGGCATGTTTATACACATGGCCTGTGTTTTGGTTAGGTTCAGCTGGTAATATGAGTGTGTACTGTATTCTGTTATTTCTTTGTGGAGGTTGGGGAGTGAAATTGTCGGATTGGTTATCGTGAGGAGTATGTCGTCCGCAAAAAGGTTAAGTGTGTACTCCCTGTCGCCTATTGTTACCCCTTTAATGTTTTGGTTGTTTCTGATGGCTATCGCTAGCGGTTCCAGCGCTTGCACGTATAGCAAGGGGGATAATGGGCAGCCTTGCCTGGTGCCGTTGGTTATTGTAAAAGGGGCAGAACTGAACCCTGAATTGAGAACCGTGGCCGTTGGGGTACTGTACAGAGCTCTTATGTTTTGGAATTCCGGTGGGAACCCATATCTCGACAGCACCTCATGTAGGAATTGCCAATTGAGACGGTCAAATGCCTTCTCAGCGTCCAGGGAGAGGAGCGTGCTCTGTAGTGTGGAGCGGTTAAGGTAATGAAGTATATCCAGTACTTTCCGGGAGTTGTCTGGGCCTTGTCTGCCTGCCACGAATCCCACTTGGTCTGTTGAGATCAAGCTGGGCAGGGATATTTTGAGCCTAGCCGCATATATTTTAGCATATAGCTTGGCGTCGGCGTTTAGTAGGGAGATAGGTCGAAAATTTGGGCAGACCGTCGGTGGTTTACCCGGTTTGGGTAGGGTTATAATGTGTGCTGCTAAGAATTCGGGCGGTAGGGTTCCCTGTTGCGTGGCTAGGTTGAGGGCTTGTGTGATGTAGGGGGTTAATATGTCCTTAAAAGTGGTGGTGTACAGATTGGTGAGGCCATCGGGCTTGGGGCTTTGCCTTTTGGCATAGAATCAATGGTCTGTGTCACTTCTAGGGTGGTTTTGGTTTTCCTTTTAAGAGTACTCATTTCTCATATTTATTATTATTTTGTATTTTTGTTCAAGTACGATATCTTGTATTTTCTTCTCTACCTCTTTACTATACAAGGTGCCCACGAAGGCACTATTCCGACTATTTCACCTTTTAGTCTATCTCTGCACTCTAGAACTTTTTTTTTTTTTTTTTTATAACTTGAAGTTTATTTGTGTTTTTGGTTTGGTCATTCACATATCACAAAACAGTATGGGTGGGGTAGGGGGGTACAGAAGAGAAAGGGAGGGGTGCAGGGTACAGGTTGCATGTTACAGCGGTTGGTTTGGTAACTTTATTACACATTTTTGAGTTCAAATTGCCCCTTCATGTTTTTTGTTGTGAGTTTTACCCTTTGTTTTGGTCTGCTTTAGTTTCGGGTACCAGAGTCTGTTTGGGTGAGAGTGCTTTGTTGCTTACATGGCCAGAATACTATTTGCCTCGTTTCCCGGTGGTGTTTGTGCCTTTCTATTAGGTTGTGGTTATACTTTTTTTTTTTTCCTCTCCTGTGTTTACCTGTTGGTGCTCGATACTTCGCTATGTATCCTTTATTGTGTGGTTCGTTCAGCATTCCCCGGGCAGGGATGGGCTGGAGGGGGACGAGGGGGCTGGTATTGTGTCTTGGTACCCATTTGTGGGTTTTTTGCCTTTTTCCCACGTCTCATGGGCTTCCCGTATGCTCGGGCGGGTTCCGAATTGTGTCGTTGCCATTAATTCGTAAGACCAGTTAAGGTCCATTTGCCTCATCAGCTCGGCTAGTGATGGTGTTGTGGTTTGTTTCCATAGCCTGGATATCAGCAAGTTTGCTGATATTAGTGTGTGGTATATAATGATTTTAAGATGTTTTGGGATGTTGGTTGGTAGCATGAATAGTAGACATTCTTGTGGTGTCTCCACCCTTCTACTATGCGTTATTTTGTTCAGCAGTGTGGACACCGCTTCCCAAAATGGGCTTATTTTGTCACAGGACCACCAGATGTGGAGCATCGTGCCCACCTCCCCCCCCCGCACCTCCAGCACATGTTACTTGTGTGTGGCCATATTGCGTGGAGTTTTGCGGGCACTAAGTACCATCGGTACATAATTTTGCGCTGCAGTTCCAAATGTGATGCGCACGCTGTTAGCCCTCTGTGAACCGAGTAGGACCTCTCCCAGATTTCCTTTGGGAATGTCTGACCTATTTCCCTGTGCCAGTCTTTCTTGATCTGTTCTAGTGTGTGCGTTTGTGTCAAGGTTAACTTATGGTATCCCCATGACATTGATTTCTTTAGTGGTGCTGTTCCTACACATTGCTGTTCAAAAACTGTCATGGCCGTTTCGTCTTCTATACCCGGTTGTTTGTTTAGTTTGCCTGTTATATATGATTTGAGCTGCAGGTAGGAGAATGTGACTGTGGTGGGCAGTGTGTATTCTGTTTGTATGTCTGGCAGTGTTTTCAGTTTGCCTCTGTCAATGACCTGGTATATGTGGTGTATTCCTCCTCTCTTCCAGGTGTCTCCGCGGAATGTAGGTACTTCCATGCCTATTGTTTGTATTGGTGTAGCCAAGGGCAACTTGGGGTTAGACACCAATTTGTTCCTCGTTGTGTTCCACACCCTCATCAGGTTCTGTGTGCTAGGTAGTAGGTTCTCTCGTATGGGTTTTGGACATTTCTGTAGCCATAGTACCGCCCTGAGGTCGTGTTGTGGGGCCTAGTAGGATTCTATTGCTACCCACTGTGGGGCTTGAGCTGGACGGTTGATTTGGGCTATGTTATGTAGGTAAGCTGCCCTACAGTACGTTGTTAGGTTTGGCAGACCCAGCCCACCTTTGCTCACCGTTTGGTGTAGTGTTCCTGCTGCTACTTGTACTTTTTTCCCCTCCCAGACGAATGTGTTTAGTGTGTTGCAAGCTTTTTAGAAACCGTTTCGGGATGGGTATTTGTAGTGTTCGAAATAGATACTGGATTTTAGGTATGAGTGTCATCTTTACCGCTGCTATGCGGCCTGTCCACGATAGAAATTTACCTCTCCACTTTTGTATGGTGTCTATGATTTCTGTTTGTATGCGCTCGTAGTTTAGCTTAAAAAGGTGTGCCGGGTTTTTGGAGAGCTTAAGTCCCAGGAACGTCAAGTAGTCATTTCCCCAATCCAGTGGGAATGCCGTCTGTAACCTGCCCAACAGGTCCGTGTTGAGTCCCATCCCTAGGGCTTGCGTCTTGGTGATATTTAGCTTGTAGTATGAGACCTCTCCGTATTAGCGTATTTGTGCCATTAAGTTTGGCAGTGATGTGAGGGGGTGTGTGATCGTCACAAGGATGTCGTCTGCAAAAAGGTTGAGTGTGTACTCTGTCTCCCAGGGTTATACCCTTTATGGAGCGGTTTGCTCTTATCGCTGCTGCCAGTGGCTCCAGTGCTAGGATGTACAGTAGCGGGGATAGGGGGCAGCCCTGTCGTGATCCATTGGTTATTGTAATTTGCTTAGATATAAACCCTGCATTGAGCACTCTAGCTGTGGGGTGGGAGTACAATGCCTGCACTGCACTCAGGAACCTCTGGGGAAACTTGTATTTTTGGAGTACAGCTTGTAGGAAAGACCAGTTTAGACGGTCGAATGCTTTTTCAGCATCTAGGGATAAGAGGACCCCCCCCTCCTGGCTACGAAGTAAGCATTGCATTAGGTCCACTACTTTTCTTGTATTGTCTGACCCTTGTCGCCCGGTGGTGAAGCCCACTTGGTCGTCGTGTATTAACGTGGGGATGATGTGGGTCAGCCTAGTGGCTAGGATTTTAGCATATAGTTTAGTGTCAGTGTTGAGCAGTAAAATTGGTCTAAAGTTTTGACTGCAGGTGGGGGGTTTTCCCGGTTTAGGTAGTGTGACTATGTGGGCTCCCAGCATTTCCGCTGGCGCCTCTCCTTTTTGTGTTGCTGCATTAAACAGGCGTGCCAGGTGTGGAGCTAGTATTCCCGCATATTTCTTATAATAGGTGTTCGTAAGACCGTCTGGGCCGGGTGCTTTCCCAGGGGGTAGGCGTGTGGTGGCTTGCAGGACTTCTGTTGTGGTGATGGGGGCTTGTAGGGATTCTATTTGTTCCTCCGATAGAGAGGGTAGGGTTATGTTGTCCAGGTAGCGCTCTATGTTCCCAGGAGTTGGATGTGTTGTATTTGGGTCTTGCTCTAGATTGTACAGTGTCGTGTAGTAGTCGGCAAAGATGTCGCTGATTTCTTTTGGTGTCACTTTTTTTTCCCCATGTAAGTTCAGCAGATATGTGATTTTTGCCTTTACGCTTTGTTGTGTTAGTCGTCTGGCTAGGAGTTTGCTTGCCCTGTTCCCCTGTGTGTATTGTGTTGCTTTGAGTTTCCTAAGGCTAAATCCCATCCTTGCCAGGTCGTGTTTCCTGATTTCTTCTAACTTCTCTTGTATTTGTGTTTTCAACAGTGGTGTTGGGGTCAGTTGGTTTTGTTTATTGAGGCGGTAGAGGGCTGTCAAGTGTCCCTTTAATTGTGCTTGTGATTTCTGTTTTAATGCACTGGTTTTCCCTATGATCAGTCCTCTGATTGCTGGCTTATGTGCTAGCCATAGGGTTTCAGGGGAGGTGTCTGGGTGTGTGTTTGTCTTAAAGTACTGCTTAATATCTTCAGCTAAATGCTCGCCGAAATGCTCGTTGTGTAATATCGATTCATTGAGCCGCCAGGGGCTGCGATGCTTGTAGTCATAAGCGTCATGTAATTCTAAGGTGATAGGGGCGTGGTCTGACCACGTGATGGTGCCTATGGAGCAGTCCTTTAGTTGGTTTAGGAATGTGCCTTTTATGTAAAACCCATCTATGCGCGAGTAAGGGTTGTGCACTTGGGAGAAGAAAGTGAAGTCTCTCTCCTCCGGGTGCAACACTCTCCATGCGTCATACAAGTCGTGCTCACTCAACAGTCGCGTTAGTGGTTTGCATTCCCGTGTCAGTGTTGCTGATCTAGGTGTGTGGGGCGGGACCGACGTGTCCCATCTTGGGTCCAGAATATGATTCATGTCCCCGCATATGAAAGTGATTCCCCTTTGTAGGTGTGCGAGTAGTTTATGTAAGAAGTTTCTCTGGTTTGTGTTTGGTGCATACATGTTGATTATCGTGTATTCCGCGTTGTTGATTTCGCAGACCAGTATTATGTATCTCCCTTGAATGTTTGTTTTCATATATCGGCTTAAAGGACACATCCTTACTGACTAAGACTGACACCCCCCTTGTTTTGGACGTATAGGTGCTATGGTACTGCGTGGGGAAGTATGCCTGCGCTATGTTCGCCGTCCGCGTGAGGTGGGTTTCTTGTAGGCATACAACATCTGGGTGTACTCTGCGCAGATCCCGGACTAGGCAATGTCTTTTGACTGGGATGTTTAACCCTTTTACGTTATGGCAATATATTTTCATGTTTTATGGAGTGTATTGCTGGTTGGTAATGCGGACCTGTATTTGGTGGGGTTCTCCCATTGTTCCTTCTTACTCTTCTGTTAGCCTTGAGTCTGCACTTTTGTGTCGTGTCTTTGTTGCCTGTGGTCCAGTCGGCCGACTGGATATCCTGCGGTTTCCCCTGCGTGTGTGTTTTCCCTCTTTGCTGCCCGTGTTCCCCATCTTTGTTCAGTACCCTGAGTTCTAGTACCTTTCTGGTGAGAGTGGGGTGGGTTGGGTGGGGGTTAACACTAATGCAGCAGGTGTTCATAACATACAAATAAAGCATTACATCAGTAAACCTATATACACTAACAGTAACATTTGTGTGCATTTCCCAATGTGGGGTTAGGCACCAGCTAGGTTTTAACTGCCCTGGTATAGGACTTGTTGATGTCTAACTATGGTTTGCATCGTGGTGGCAGTGTACTTCTCCTTCTGGGGGTGTCTTTTTTTTTTTTTTTTGCACAACACAGTTGTATCTCTTTCATTTCCTGAGTGGTGTGATTTGGAGTGTCTCTGCCCTTTCGGTGGGAAAAAGTGTTTTTATTTTTTTTTATTTTTTTAGTGTTTGTTCAGTGATCCCTACCATGTTCCCTGTTGTCTGTGTGTCTGTCATGTGTGTGTGGGTGTCTGGCTTGTGCGTACAACCCCGTGGTGTGTTGCTATGTCTATCATACTTGCGGCCGAGTGGTTGCCCGTCCTTGACTGGGACTGCGTTCTATCGTACTTCACAGTCTTTGTTGTGACTTTTCAGTTCATTTCTTGGTTCTTTTCCATTCTGGGGACAGCCTGGCTGGCGTGGCCATGATCTTCCCCTCTGGGTTTACTGGGATGTTCCAGGTGCGCAGGAGTCTCCGTCCCTCTTCAGGTGTGTTAGCTGTCATCACCGTACCATTTCTTCTTATCAGCAGACGGATCGGATATGCCCATCTATATTGGACGTTGTTCTGGCGCAGTGCTTCCGTGACGTCTTTAAATTCTTTTCTCTTTTGCAGTGTGGCTGCAGACAGGTCTGTGAAGATTTTGATGTGTCTGTATTTCTGCGGCAGATCGCAACCCCCTCTCGTAGCTTGGAGTAGTGCCTCCTTCACGTGGAAGTAGTGTAGGTGTGTGAGCACATCCCTAGGGGTGTCTTGCGGTAGGAACGTTGGCTTCTGTACTCTGTGATATCTGTCTAGGAGCAGTACTTCTGCAGGTAAGTCTGGCGCCAGTTCTTTAAAATAGCCGATCAGGAATGCATGCAGGTCTTGCTGCTTCACCTCTTCTGGGATACCCCGGAGCCGCAGGTTCTGGCGTCTAGAGCGGTCCTCCAGGTCCATGACCTTGCGCTGTGTATATTCCAGTTGCTGTTGCATATGCTGCACTTGGTCGGCCATATCATTATGTGCAGCAGCCTGATCTTCCATCTTTTGTTCCACGTGTGCCATCCTGTCTCCCAGCTCCTGCACATCTCTGCGGAGCTCTCTCAGAGTGCTTTGTAAGGAGGCTAAGATCTTGGTGGACATATCCTCCAGGCAGTTTTGTAAGAAATCTTGTGTGACCGGTAGGTTTTGCGGCCCAGGGGAGGACTGTAGTGGCACTGTGTCGTTCCCGCCGTTGCCATCTTGGTCTCCGTCTGTGAGGCCTGCGGCTTTAGGCGTCGACGCTCTGGCTGCAAAAAAAACGGATCGGTCCATTTTTTTCGCTCTGCCTCTTCTTGTTTGTGTTTGCCATGCTGCCGGGTATCGGGTGAGTCTTTGGGAGCTGAGTAATGCTTTTTTTCTTAGCTTTTTCGGGCCAGCGTTGTGCGGAGCTCAGATCAGAGCGACCATCCGCGTTGCTTGCTAGGCCACGCCCCCTCTAGAACTTATTTTGACGTCCAGTCTAAGTCTTCCCCCGCTTTTAGGGAGCTTAGTGTTAGGAGACTATCGGGTGATTTTGGTAACAATCCCTTCCTCTATTTGCAGCCTTGAGTAGTTCTAACAGATCTCTCAACATTGTTTCTCATTGTTAGCTCTATATTCTATTGCTATATCATAGCACAGCAACAGATTAGTTACACAGTTGCTAACACGTCTTTGGCTACAGCTACGGATTTGCAGATTTAAATCTTATTATTTATTAGCTTCATTTACGAATGGTATTTTAGTATTCAGTCTAATTTTCTTTTTGCATCTAGCGAGGGTATCTTGTCCCACGCCGATTTGGTTATGCTAATGTAGCGGGACATTCATTATCTACTGGGAATTACACCTTTCCCTGACTATTAGGGCTTTTTTTGTAATACGAACAGATCTGTCAACATACTGAAAAACTTTTCCTTTATTAATGTTTTTTTTTTTTTTTTGCTTACATTGTATCCTATGTTAGTGCAACATCTGAGACGCTGAGTTATATTGTTGCACAAACACTTTTTTAGCCATAGGTACGGCTCTGCAGAGCTTTATTTTGTCGGGACCCGATACCACATCTTGGCTTAGTATCCTATTGTTTTAGGCTGCATTTTCTTTCTCACACGTACTTGTTACAATTTATATTTATTATATATTTATTTTCTTTTTCTGTGCACTCTTTGTTTTGGGCTACCACCTTTAGCTGTGTGTAGCCATATTAGCTCATAAATAGTAGCTATAGCTCTTACTGTTCATTTGTATGTTAGTTGTTTTTTTTCATTTTCCCTTATTTAATAAAGTATCTTCGAGATTTTTTAAGCATCCTTTCTATTCTTTATAGGGACACACGTTTTTCTTTTTCCTCTCCTATTACCTCATTAGGGTTACCCCCTGTTGTGTCCTTTAGGTTTTGTGGCCACTATTCTCTATCCATTTGACTAATATGGTTACTGTACCTAGATCGGTATAAGTTATGGTCATTCCTAACATTGCACTGATTTAATACTTGTGGATTATATGCTTGGATTGGTGTTGATATCTTGCAAATATAACAATCTGCTTATTATCACCATAGGCTCTGCAAAAAGTACTTCATCACTATCTGAAGATAAGGTAAGAGTAAGTATGTGGTGGTTGTTCTCATAAGGATAACTGAATATCTTCTACTATCCTGCTTATTATGTGTCTGTTGCCACAATGTATAATGTGCCTCTGGTTACCACCTTCCCATCAGTATCTTGCCTATTACATATCTCTTACTTATGTTGCACAGCAGTCTCTAATAAATTTTATTATACTGTTTGGCATAATCTGTACTATTTAAAAATGTAGGTACTGACGTGGTTGTCCTCCTTATAATTTAGTAGTTGTCACAAATTCTACTGTTCATACCAATATTTTTTTTTTTTTTTCTAAACTAATCTGTGTATGATTCTTCTTGCCTTTGCCTAATCATGTTATTGGTTTATTCCTCTCCTGTGACTTATCATTACTGTATCAATTCATCCACGGTGTGAGGTATTGCTGTGAGTCTGATTTTTTTTTTTTTTGATTTTTTTTTTGCAACATTGGGTCATTGTTGCAGTATTTTAATAACAGACTCTTATTTCTCTACTAGGCTCTGCCTCTTTCTGACAGATATTGATTTGTTCCTGTATCTTCAGGTAAGTAGTTCACTAGGCAAGAGGAAACAGTGTGAATCGTATTTTAATAAATACATCCAGTAAGTAGTAGGATTCTCAGTGTAATTCTCCCCGTGTTTAATAGCATGGGTGTGTCCATTCTCATCCAACATTATCTGCTTGTTCCAGTATGATCTCTGGAAGTTATGCCTTTGTCGAAGTACTGATTTGATGTCATCAATTTAGTTTTAAATTTTATATCAGAATGACATTATCCTTCTCTAGTTTATGCTATCATGGCCTTAATTCCTATCTGACTCTATATCTATTCAAGATATTTCAGATATTGAATGCGAGGAGGTTGCTGACCTTGCAGCCTCTAGGAAAAATTAACTTTGTCTGAGCAGATTTTATGAAAATATCCTATTGATTCTTGTTTGGCTTTGTAAAGTCTTCTAAGATTTTTTTTTTTTTTTTTTATATAAATTCTTTATTTTTGCAGTGCAAAGAAAAAACATAAAAGCAGGCGTGTGGTGCCCCAATAGCATTCCTCACGCTGATTATCAACATTTTAAACAATGGGGTTATCATAAATCCGTGCAAATTTTTCAGTTATTTATGTCTAGATTGTCCACGTTTAAACTTTACGCTGGGTATACAATTAAAATGTGGTCCTAGTTTAGCTGAGCAGGTCTAACGAAACCTTGGCGGCACAGTGCATTATATACCTTTTTTATAAAGCATTCCATCTAGTCGCTGGCTTATCTAGCTGATCTAGGACACATAAAAAAATTTAACATCGCTAACTATAGTATGAAACATTTAAAGATCCTGCTACCCTGACTAGGCCCAGGAAAAGCATTGAAAAGTAATCAACAACTGACTAAGCATAGCATGTTTTAGCTAATATATATGTGATAAACATGTTGTAACATTTAGTTGCATGTTTGAGTAATACAACATAAGTGTTAATAATGCCAGCGAGAAATTAAAATAACACAATGTAGCCTTGAGTTTCAGTTGAGCAAGGAGTAGTCTGAGTCTATGGTCAAAATGTCAAACAATTCCACAGTCCCGGCTCAGCAAGACACCAGCACCGCTGCTAGTTAAGGGGGATTGTTAACACACCCATAACTGTAAGGTACATTTGTCAAGGTAATACTTAAGTTGCTCTAGTAACAGTATAGGTAGTATGGGTACATTATACTAGTTAATTAAACAGGCTAGTGCGGATAGATTAGTTAGCATAAGGTACATAGACTGCTATCCAAGACATGCTATACTCTTGTGTCCGAATCGTTGACTACAATCCCATGACCTCTCGTGCAACTATACAGGCCAGTGACTTCAGACTAAAAATTGCTAGGCAGATGTGTCTGTGAGTAAACAGGCTAGTTAAACATTGAGTCTTGCATGCATTGAGAACGTTATACCACTGGGTTATGGGCCTAGGCATAGCAAACTGCGCATCTGATGAAGTCAAAATTCTGAGCAACTAAATAGACAAAGCTTAGCTAGTACTTCCTCATAGAGTAACATGTTAATTAGCATAGGCTATACTTATGTGAGTAACTAAGGAAACACACAATTATTAAAACTTTGCTAAGTTTTATGCGATGAGGCTTAGGCCTGATGTGACATTTGCTGTGACAATCTAAGACCAGTTTTAGTAGAGGTTATAACACTTGCAATGATTAGTAGGAGTCCAGGGTGATGGTCACTGCAGTCGTCTGCTTAACCCCTTAAGGACACATGACATTGTGACATGTCATGATTCCCTTTTATTCCAGAAGTTTGGTCCTTAAGGGGTTAAACAATCAGCCCACGCCGCAGGGTGGGATGGCTGTGCAAGACACGAGAGCAACATTTATATATGAAAAAACATGAACTTGAGAACATGGCATGCTCATTTGTGTTCAGAATAGATAATTGTATAACATATAAAATAACAGGCTAGGTATCTACTGGCAGGCTACAGTGGCATCTCTAGGATTCATTTTTCGGGGAGGCACATGGAGGGCCAGGGACAAAAGTAGGGGGGCACATTTAACCCTGCCCTCGCCGCAGTTTGACCCCGCCCCTGTTGCATGTTAAGCCACGCCCCCAACACAATGTGTTTTGTTTTTTAAATAATACCTGGTGGAGGATTCATTATTTTCCACCAGGGATTATTAAAAAAACAAACACATTATCCTTGATACAGTGCCATAGTTGCCAACATTTGAAAAAAGGACATTTTGCAGCACAGCTATCAATTACTGTCTGGGTATAATATCCCTGGACAGTCACTGCTCTCTGTATAATACAGGGTTGTGTGTATAATAAATTGGGACACTCAGTGCTCCCTGTATAGTGCTGCTCTCTGTTTATTACAGGTCTGTTTGTGTATAATATCCCAAGACAGGGGGGCGGAGACTAACAGCGGAGGCAAGCAGACGCAAGTCTAAGGAGCTCTGAGCAAAAACAGACGAAAATACACTTAAAATCGACAGATACTACCCCCAACAACCACTAACCGAAAGCGGGAACCCCTTAAGCCCTAATGGGACGCAAACACAAGAAACAGATGCCGGATAAACCAGCCCCAGGACTCACAATACGGGAAATGTGGCGGCAAGCATGCGGCCCGAGCGGATCCAATATGGCGGCGCTCCACGGAGGCTGCTCGGATTTCTCAGATGACTACTCAGAGGGAGCTGAAGATGAATGCCTCCTAACCCCAGACCCAAAGCCCAGGGCAAAACCCAGCAAACCAAGGAAGGACCCAGATGCCGACCTGGTAACCACTGGGGTGTTAAAGACCCTGCTAGCCGACCTACAAAAAAACATCCTTGCGGATGTCACCGCACTAAGGGGAGAGCTGCAGGGCCTGACGGGTTGCATAGCAGTACTAGAGGCCTCCTCCCAAGAACAGCAGAGCACGATCGCCTCACTGAGAAGCGACATGCAGGACCTGTGCAGCCAAAATATGCTGTATGAACGGCGCTTTGCAACTCAGGAAGACACAAGACAGAGACTCAATATCAAGGTCAGGGGACTCCCAGAGGGGTTGCCGGAGACTGACATACCGCACATGATCAAGCGCCTGCTAACCAGCATACTGCCCACAGACCAAGCTAAAGCCATAACACCAACAGATCTCTTCCGGATTCCGAAACCCGCTGGGGCCCCAGACATGGCCACAAGGGACACCGTACTCACCTTCAAAAACGGGACTGACAAATCGACGGTCCTCACAGCCGTCCGGGGTAAAGCCCCCATACAATTTGAAAATGTTAAACTAACCTTCTACGCCGACCTGTCCAGTGGAACTCTGGCGTGGCGCAGGTCACTTCGGCCTCTTACCTCCACACTCCAGCGCAACAACATACCGTATCGCTGGCGGTCCTTGCACACGCTCCTGATACAGCAAGGTGAAACGACACACCAAACGACACACCTTCTCCGAACCCTGGGCCTGCCACAGGATTCACTCCCCCAAGCGGGACCCTGTGCTCCCACCACCCCGAGCCACAGCTGGGATCCAGCAAAAAGTGCCCCATTCAGACCACGGAGCACCACACCGGTTACCTACGCCTCAGTTACCTCATAGATGGAGCCGAAGGGCGCACCCTCCAAGCTCTGCAACACCATGACCTGCCTACACCGAACTGCCGAGAAAGGGAGTACCGCGCCGGGGCGCCACCAATACTCTGCAAGGCATCGGTTGATGAAATCAACTATCAAGTCCTTGGGGACTCTACTTTCCTCTTCTCCCTTTTATCTCTCATTAAATACGCCAGCACATGATACAGGACTCTTGCCTGGAGAACACCAGGGGACCTTGTAGCTCTGTTTGGCAAGTTTGGGATTGTTCACCTGCAGTAATACGCACATAGCCACTGTTTGTATAATAATTAATCTACTAATACTTCACACTTATAAGGCACACAACTGTTATTTTTCTCAGTTTATTTATCTATATATTTTTTTTCTCCCTCTTTCCCTGTCTCTTTGTTTCTCCCTTTTTCCTTTTTATATTATGTAGCCTTTGTTTCCTTAAAATGAGACTCTATACTGCGCTCCATGTGTGGTATATTAAGCGATGGCTAACATACATCGCCTCCTTAGCAAGCACCCCTAAGCAAGAATTCCCATGTAACATCGTTACCCAGAAAGGTACAGGGAAATACCACCTAGCAGACGAGGGTAGCTTCTTAGGCTATCACCTGGGACTCTGCCATATGCAACATAGAAAGCACCACAACTTTACCCTACTACCTTAAGCCTGGCGGCCCATCAACCCCCAATCACGCATTAATCATGACCTTAAGGGTCCCTACCACATAAACAGGGGGATTTATGTTTGCTCCGGACAGCCTGAATATAGTCTACCCCAGCTGGCCCACTTCCATTCTCAGCGAAGCATTTAAGCTGCACAGCTAACATAGCCCTAATGTGTCCCCTCGGACCACCTCACAGGAGTACCTTCAGTTGTCAAGCACCCAGTTAGTTTCACTGGTGAAGTTTACACTCTATACTTCTCAATATGCATTACTTATTGCTGCTAACCTAAAGGGATGGCTCTTTATTTATTTATTTATTTATTTACATTTTTTTTTTTCCTTCCGCCTAGCAAGGCACAATTAAAACCGCAGCTCTGATCAGACATACTATACTAAACACATAACACTGTATAATCCAACACAAAGATGAGAGCGTATAGCTATGATCTGTAATGCAATGTCCTAGCCCAGTGATGGCGAACCTATGGCACGCGTGCCACAGGTGGCACGCCGGGCCCTCTCTGTGGGCACGCGGCCATAGGTTTGCCATCACTGCAGAATAGGCGCCTGCCTGCCCGAAACGGCAGGCGCCTACTCTGCTTCCGTGTCGGCAGGACCGGAAGCAGGGAGGAAGGATCGAGGAAACAGCTCTCCTGTCCTCCCGCGAGCTGTGTGGATCGTTGCCGCGCGTTACCATGGCAACGCTCCACACAGCATCGCGCGGGAGGATGGGAGAGCTGCAGGACTTGTCATCCTGTCCTGCATACCACCACCAGACCACCAGGGATGGCTGTGTCCCCCCCTCCCCTTCACCAAAGGTTAGAAGAAGGGAGGGGGGGGTACTGATTTAATAACCTATCCCCCCTACCCCCAGCACCCCTACCCACAAAACCCTTACCCCCACTACCCCCAGCACCCCTACTCCCCCTACCCACAGCACCCCTACCCCCACCCACAGAACCCTTACCCCCAGCACCCCCACTACCCACAGCACCCCTACCCCTCTTACCCACATCACCCCTAC